AGGTTTAACCACTGATACTGGAGATCCTGGGAACTTCCTCCCCTTAGGATTATGGATAATGTAGTCCCAGTATCTCCTGCTCTTTGCTTGGTACTGTGGGAGGCCCTCCCTAAATATTATGAGTGAAGTATTAAGAGGTGAAGTATTAAGTGGGCTCAGATTGAGGAATTCTGGGTAATTCCTCCCCCCAACTCACATGGAATTGTGGGTAACATAATTCCACATTTTATTCAACTATGGAGAATTGTGGGAGATTCCGCTCCTGTTAGAATTTTGGGTAATGTAGTCTCATGATTTATTGGCTCTGTGCAGAGTATCTTGGGAACTTCCTTCCTCCTAGGATTATGGGTAAGGTAGTCCAAATTGCCTGCCTACTGCTGGGTATTCTGGGAGCCTCCTTCCTGAGGATTTTGGGTAATGTAGTCCCATGATTTGGCCTCTCTATGTAAAGAATTCTGGGAACTTCCTGTGCCATAGAATTGTGGGTCATGTAGTCCCATGTATTACACAGTGGGGGACTTGTGGAAGCTTCCTTTCCTGTGGACTTATGGGTATTGTGGTCCCATGATTTAGCCTCTCTGAGCAAAGAATTCTGGGAACTTCCTCTCCTTAGAATCATGAATAAGGTAGTCTCAACATTTGCCATTCACCACTGGGTATTCTGTGAACCTTTTCCCATAAGGACAGTGGGTGAAGTAGTAAAGAGCATACTGTTAGACCAGGACGCAAGAAAACACCACTGACTCCAATTAAAATCAAATTAAAGCAAGCTTATTATTTCGACCAGCCGGGCTGCCTCTCCCTCCCAAAACAGCAGGAACAAGACAACAGCAGCAGCTTTCCTGCAGCCCAGCTTTATAGCCCAGAAAGTTACACAAAGCAGGGTTACAGATAACAGAACTCTGACGAGCATAACACTGATGGTAGTTTACATTTTTTGCTGGCCCCAACATCAAAATTTATGAGGACCATTAGAGTCTCAGAGAGGGTCATTGTCTGGCCAGGGAAGGCCAATATTTATGAGGTGTCACTAAAGTTTCAGAGAGGGCTGCTCTCTGGTCAGAGAGCCAGGCATGGGTGAATTCAAGGCACGGGCAGGCATTCCAAGCAGGTTCAGAATTTGCAATAATTTATAGTAAAGCCAAAATAATCTTTTCATGGCTTTGTGGTGAGATTGCTCCCAATTTTAAGAAAAGATCAGGTTGGGTCTATCACATACCACTCTGGGCAGCTCTGGGAATTCCACCCAATAGAATTGTGGGTAATGTAATCCCATGATTTGTCCTCTTTGTGCAAAAGATCCTGGGAATTCCACCCCTTTAGTATTATGGGTAACATAGTCCCATCTCACCACTTGTTATTTTGGGTGCCTCCTTCCCTGAGGATGGTGGGTGAAGTAGTCGTGGGCATATCACTCACTTTGGGGAATTCTGGGAACTTCCTCCCCTAAGAATTGTGGGTAATGTAGTCACACTATTTGTATTATCTGTTAGGAGTTGTGGGAGCTTTCTCCGTATTTGAATTATGGGTAATGTAGTCTTATAATTTGTCTTCTTCATGTAGAAGATCCTGGGAACTTCCTCTCTTAAGGATTGTGGGTAATGTAGTCCCAACATTTGCTTGCTCACCGCTGGGTATTCTGGAAGCCATCTTACCCCTTAGTTTTGTGGGGTATGTAATCCCAAGGTTTGTCTGCTCACTGCAAGAGATCCTGGGAAATGCATCTTCATAGAATATTGGGAATTAAAGTTCCATTATTTGCTTGCTCACTGATGGCTATCCTGAAGACTCTTCCCCTAAGAATTATTGGTAATGTAATTTTAGCTTTACTACTCACTTTGGGGAATCCTGGGTGCTTCAAGCCATGTAATTGTGGGTATTGTAGTTCTAGACATAACCACTTTGGGGGGGGGTACCATTACCCATAATCCTAAAGTGGAGGAAATTCCCAGTATCCCATTTCCTCCATTTTAGTATTATCGGATATGTCTCAGGTTTTTCCCTGATAGCAGTAGGATCTCAAGGGAGGATTATGAGTAGTGTAGTCCAAATTGCCTGCCTACTGTTGGGCATTCTGGGAGTCACCTCCCTGAGAATTTTGGGTAATGTAGTCCTATGATTTGCCCTCTCCATGTGAAGAATTCTGGGAACTTCCTGTGCCATAGAATTCTGGGTCATGTAGTCCCACATATTACACAGTGGGGGATTTGTGGAAGTTTCCTTTCCTGTGGACTTGTTATTCTCCTCAGTGAGGGTTGTTGGTAATGAAGTCTTGGGTTTATCACTCACTGGGGGATTTGGGAGACTCCTCCCCCATAGAGATTTAAAAACTACAGTCTCAGGTTTACCACAGGCCCAGGGATTCCTGGAACATGTTTGCCTTAGGTAATATAGTTCCAAAATTTATGAATAACATGCCCCCATTTTTTCCTTGATAACCATTGGCAATGCTGGGAGCTTGCTTTTTCTTGGGATTGTGGGTAGTGTAGTCCCTGGTGTAGCAGCTCACAGTAGGGAATTAGGAGTTCCTAAATCTTAGTCTGTATGTGATACATTCCTGGGTTTACCACTCATGACAGTGGATTTTGGAAACTTCCTCCCATTAGGATTGTGGACAATGTAGTCCCACAATTTTTTTTTGCTTGGCACTGGGTACCCTGGGATATTGCTCCCTTTAGGATTGTAGGTAATGTAGTCCCAAGTTTTACCTGAACACTTAGGGAATCTTGGGAATTTCTGCTCATATTAGAATTGTGGGTAAAGTGGTTTCACAATGAGGAATTTTGGGCTCTTTCTTTTTAGAAAATTATAGATAGTTATGGATAATTAAAGTCCTGGGTTTAACCATTCAATGTGGGGGATTCTGGGACCTTCCTACCTCTTTAGAATTGGAGATAATACATTTCCAAAATTTATTTGCTTGCTTCAGGGATTCCTGGGAAACTTGTTAAAAATTATTGTGGGCACTGTAGTCCTATTTGACTGTAAGGGTCCCGCGAAATGTCGGAGAAAGAGACCACCAAGTGACCACTCATGCAATTGGCAGAAGGGGGATTTATTGAACCAGCATGCTGGGGCTCCGTGCCCACTCAAGAAGGGAAAGCAGCCCAGAGCCCCGAGCAGGGGCTGAGCACTGCTTAAGTACACTTTTTGGGGAGGGCGGAGGGCTTTGTATACATCAGAACAAATCATCATGAGGCGCGGGAAAATTGAACAACAACTCCTAAACACGATTAGTTCATTCATTGGCGGGAACAGGTCAGGCTGGAGTGATAGGTCATTCCTAAGGAGGGGGTTACATTTAAACTGATTGGTCCAGGCCCTGCAATGCCTACGTGCGACCACACAGAGCCCTTATTAAACAACCAAATAGTCAGGGGAAATATTTACTGGGCAGTTCCAAGCATTGTCTTAACAGGTACAGAAATTTCAGGTTTTGCAGGTAGCATAGAAACCTAACAATACCTCCTTTACATTTTAACTCAGACCTTGCAGCTTAGAAACTTTTACAACACCCGGTCTTTTACCCTTTAACTTTTACACTTTAACTTCAATTTCTTTTACCCTTACAGACTGACCATTGGATAATCTTGTTGCTGTAGAAAATGTAGTCCTTGGAATACCCTCACTGTTGGGGATCCTGGCAACTTCCCAAGGATTATGGATAATGTAGTCCCAAGTCTTTACTGCAAACTTCAGTGATTCCTGAAAAACTTATTCCCAAAGAATCGTGGGCACTATAATTCAATTTGACTGCTCACTGATGGGTAACCATGGTAGTTTCTGCCCCTTAGAATTGTTGGCAAGTTAGTCATTGGAATTTCCCTCTTGCTGTAGAGGATTCTGGAAACTTCCTAAGAACTATGGGTAATATAATCCCAAAATTTGCGTGCTTACGCAGAGAATTCTGGGAAATTTGTCCATGTAGGATTGTGGGTAATAAATATTTGTAATTTATCACATAGCAGGAAAATTTGGGAGCATACAATGTCATAGCATTGTGGGTTTTGTAGTCCTTGGATTGCCCTCTTACTATGGAGGATCCTGGGAAATACCTCACTAAGTATCATGGTAAATGTTATCTTGTAATTTCCTATCCTGTCTGAGCTGTACATGAAGAACCAAAACAACAACAAAACAGGTTTTCTTTTTATGGCACGATGCACAGGGCTCCTGGACTCTACAATGAGAGATGCAAAACTGGTATTCTATGTTGCAGCAATTCACTTGCAGGTCAGCATGAGAAAGAAAGAAGAAGCAGAGCAAGCAAAGCAGCAGCAGAAAAAAAGTCCTTTATTGTATACAAGCAATCTTTTTATAGTATTGTGAACAAAGAAGGCAGCCTTCCAACAGCAATAAATCAGGTCTTTCAGCTAATTAAACATAGCACACAGAAGTTTTACTTTCTAATCAGAAGTGACCCACTTCTCATGACTAATCTACTCTCGGCCTGGAGGATGCCGAGCTCTGCTCTTATTAAGAACAGATAATAAATTTTTTCTCAGCGCCCTCTTAGCCCACTTGGCAGAACATCCCGTTTGCAGGCAAGTCCTCCCAAGGACAGCAGACACCTCATTTTCAAGCATGTCCGCTGTTACCTTATCTAAACCTTGACAGAATATCCCGTTTGCAGGCAGACTCCGTCAAGGACAGTAATAGTAACGCAGTCACATCTGATTCTCTACAGTTCTATGACAGCAGGACAACTGATCTTTATGTAGAGAAAAGAAACTCTTTTCTATGGTAGCAAAAATACCAGAGCTTCTGTGAGATATGTGGAAAGCCAGGGAACACAGGTTAGATAAACTGGCCTCCCATGTTTTCTTGGCTTTCCTTGGAGAGAGAGAAATGGGGTTCTATCATGTCAGAACTCACAGTTCTGCAGGTCTGTATATGGAGAGCAAGGGAACTTGGTTTCTATGATTGTATGACTCTCGGGACTGCTTTTCTTCATGGATATAGCAAGTGAACCTTTTTTTTTTTTTTTTAAATGTTTCCAGGAATTTCAAGTCTGGTGGAAGTCATGGAACTGGAAGTCACAAGGAACTGGGGTTATATTGAAGCCAGATTTAAAGTTAGGTAGTTAGTGTAGTTAGGTAAATCGGGTCTAATATCGAGTGAAATCTAAAATGGAGACCATGCGGAGAATGACTCAGGGAAAACACAGGACAACTCATGGAATGTTAATGAAGTCCCCGAAAAGGCCCTAGGCCAAGTCCACCTCAAAGAAATGTTAATGAACAGCCCCCAGCAAAAAGGTGCTGACTCAGAAGTCCTTCCTGACCAGATTACTTCTTTGGCCCACCTGTGTCCCACCCCTGGGGCCTTCCCACCTACATTCCATCACTGAAAGAACTATAAAAAGGGGAGACAACATCCCTTCCACGGATTCCACCTCTTGGGTCCCCTTCTTCCTCCGGGAGAAGTCTTTTCTGCTGTCCTTTAATAAACTTCTAATTTCTACTCTGACCTTGCCTCGGCATGCTTCTTTGGTGTTATTCTTCAACATTGGGGAAGCAAGAACTCGTCACCGGTCAACAGCGGTAACAATATGATGACAGGACTCTCAGTACTTTTGGGCTCTTGGTAAAAAAAACAGGGAAATGGTTGTATTGTTGGAAGGACTCCCAAAGCTTATGGGCTCTATGTGCAGAGACAGGAAACTATGTTTCTGTGATTACAGCAAACCTGGAGCTGCTGGGCTTTATGTGGAGTAAAAGTAAAGTGGGATTCCATTGCTGACAGGATTTCTAATGTTACTAGACACCTCTATTTGGACATCTGGGGGACTGAGATTTTATAACAGAATTCACAATTCAACTGAGTTCTATTTAGACAGAGGGGAACTTGGTTCTATGATTGCAGGGGACTGAAGTTCTATGAAGGTGGGTCTCACAGGGCTGCTGGGCTATATTTGGAGAGTCAGATCATGGGATTTCAATAATTTCATGTCTCCCAGCACTACTATATCCTGTGTGGAGAGTTGGGGAACTTGGGTTCTATGGTGGCAGCACACACAGGCCAGCGGATCTGCCTATAGGGAGAAGAAAACTGGTTTCTATAATGACAGGATGGCAGGGCTTTGGGGATCTGTATGCAGAGCTAGTCTTAGATTACATGTATGCAGGAATCACAGGGCTGCTGGAATCTATCTAAAGAAGGAGGGACCTTTGTTTCTATGATGTCAGGGCACGTATGGCTGCTAAGCAGTTCATGGAGAGGAGTAAAATGATGCTTATAATGACAAAATACATAGGTCTGCTGAAATCTACATTGAGAGTGTAGAATCTTCCTACACTCAGATTTTATTCACTGCAATACTTGCAGGCCTCTGAGAATTCACCTGGAGAGCCAGGAAACTGGGATTCCTTGATGACAGGACTTGTAGTGATGTTTGTCTCTAGGTGTAAAGCCAAGGAACTGGGTTTTTATCATGGAAAGACTCCCCAGGCTAAAGCACAGTACTTTTAGGGGCAGGGACATTGGGTTATATGATGGCAGGACTCTAAGGCTGCTGAGGTTTATGTGGAGAGCCAGGGAAATTGGGTTCTGTGATGGCAGGGATGCTGGGTTCCATGCAGAAAGCCCAAAGTGGCTTTTGTAATGACAGTATATACAGTGCTTCAGGTTTTTTCTTCAAAATCCAGGGAACTTCCAGGTGCAGTAGAGCACATCTGTAATCCCAGAGGCTCAGGAGGCAGGAAGATCATGAGTTCAAAGCCAACCTCAGCAACAGTGAGGCACTAGGCAACTCAGTGAGACTCTGTCTCTAAATAAAACACAAAAAGGGCTGGGCATGTGGCACAGTGGTTAAGTGCCCCTGAGTTCAATCCCCAGTACCCAAACAACAACAACAAACCCACAGGGAACTGCAATTCTAGGATAGTGGGACTATCTGTCCTGCTAATCTTTATGTGGAAAGCATTGAAGCTGAGGCTCTATTTATTGAAGAATTTCTGGTCTCCTGGGGTCTACAAGAGAGACAGGTAAGTGGGTTTCTCTGGTAGCAGTGAAGCCAGAATTAGACAGGCAGCCAGTGTAGATAAGTAAATCAAGTCAGGCCGGGTCTCAGAGGCCAATTTGAGTGAGTATGAGCAGTTGGAGATTGTCCCCTGTGGGATCTTATCAAGAACCTGTCCCTGCTCCAACCTGTTGCCAAGGTAACCTGTCCCAGGAATTTCCCCTCCCTACAGGGAGCTATAAAGTTTTAATGTGTCCTTGGCTACTCTGTCCTGCCCTTCCCCCTTCAGCCCACCATTTTCCCACCTTTTGGCCCTCCCATTGGGCATTCCTGAGCCTAGTCACTAGGAAGGAAGGAGAAAGATAAGGGGGAAAAGGCAGGAGAACAAAGGAATCCTAGGACATATAAAAAGGGCAGAACACCTCACCTCTTGGGATACCAGGATACCAGCTATGGCTTCCTTCTCCCTTGCTGGAGAAGTCTATGTTACCCCTTTTAAAATAATCCCTCGTTCATATGCTTGCCTCCCCAGTGTGCTTCTCTAATGTTCAAACTTCAACGTGTGGGGAAGCAGGACTCATAACTGATAACCGGCAGTGTTACCGCTGTTTACTGGTGACAAGTCCTTGCTTCCCCAAACATTGAAGTATAACACCAGAGAAGCATGCCGAGGCAAGTGTAGAATGGAAAGTGGAAGGCTTTATTAAAGGATAGCAGAAAAGACTTCCTCCTGGAGGAAGAAGGGAACCCAAAAGGCAGAATCCGTGAAAGGGCGAGGTCTTCCCTTTTTTATAGCTAAGGTCTTCTTTTATTCCTCTCACATTTCTGTCCTTTGTTTCCCTTTATCCTTTAGTGATAGAATGTAGGTGGGAAGGCCAAAAGGTGGGAGACAGATGACTGGAAGAGTAATCTGGGCAGGAAGGGCCTGGGGTGGTTTGATTAGCACCTCCCAGTTTGATTAGCACCTCCCTGTTTGCTGGGAGCTGTTTCATTAACAGTTCCTTAGAATGGGTTCCCAGCGTTTGGGACATTAACATTTCAATTTCCCCAAGTACTGCTCTGGTTTCCTGGACTGTATTCTCGATAATGGTCTTCATTTTCTTTATCTTACTCCATATTAGACCCAATTTACCTAAGTACAGTAACTACCTATCTTTAAATCTGGCTTCAGTGGTATCAGCAGGGCACTCAGTTCCTCTGAACTCCATGTATAGAAAAATGGAACTGGGATTCTCTTGATGGTAGGACTCACAGTGATGCTGAGCTTTACATTATGAGCTAGTAAATTAGAGTCTATGACAGCAGTACTCACTGGGAATATTGGCTTTTTGTGGAGCATCCAGAACCTGGGATTTTATCATGGCAGTATAGCTGGGGTCTAGGTAGAGAGCCAGGGACCTTGAATTGTAGAGAGCAGGATTTGCAGAGATGGTTACCTCCTCACAGAATGTTACAAAACAGGATTGAGGGGGCCTTCTGGCTGGAGTGATGATGAGGTACACAGTAAGATGGACCTTAAACAATGGTGAGAATTTTAATTAATTTAGTTAATTAAGGCAAGGACATTCTAGGCACTCAGAACAGCAAGAACCAAGATGAAAAGAGAGGTGGCAAGTCAGAAAGACATAGGATTTATTTAGAGGAGTGGTTCTTAAATTTTTTGTCTCAGAGAGGCTGAGGTTGGAGGATCACTTGAGAGGTCTTGAATTTGAGACAAATTCTAGGCAACACAGCACAATCCCTTTTTTTTTTTTTTTTTTTTTTTTAAAAATTGTTCAAAGAGCTTTTATCATAAGAAAACATCAGTTGGTTTTTATTGTTTTGGAAATTAAAATTGAGTTACTGTGTCAATTCCCTATGGCTGCTCAAGGAAGTTGCCACAGATAGTGACTTAAATGACAAAAATTTATTATCTAGGGTCCTGTAGTAAGAAGTCTAAGATGAGTTTCACAGGGATAAAATGAAAGTATGCCAGATAGCAATCTCTTGATGTCTCGCTCTCAAGATCAACCTCAAATCCCTGGGATTACAGATGTGCACCACCAAGCCCAGCAAAATATTCTTAATCATATCTACAAAATCCCTTTTGTCATTTAAGATAACATACTGAAAGGTTCCACAGATTAAACTTGTATATATCTTTGAAAGACCATTATTCTGCTTATCGCAATTAGTAATTTATTAATTGCACTGAAAAACTAGCCTCTACCTCAGAGCAAAGACTGTCCAAGGAAGGGGCATGACCTTTGTCCTTGGAAAGACCACAGAGCACTCCCAGGCACATTCCCACCCTGCTAAGTTGTTTATCTACAAATAACAGGAAGAGATCTGCTGGGCCAGGTGTCCCTGACTCAGTCAGGCTAGGTGGGGACCCATAGCAACCCCCTAGCAGCCACCAATCAGCATGAGACAGGGAAATACCTGGGATGCCAGATGACCCTCCCAGTAGTTTATGGTGGTTGATAACGTGTTGGGAAACCATGTAGTTCAGCATGAACACCCCTCTTGGCTTAAACCAATCAGTTCAAAGGAATCCCCCTCTTGTAGTAACCAATCAGCCCTACCCAACTTGTTCTTGCCAGTGAATGTGCTAATCATGTTTTAGAGTTGTTTTATGATTTTCCCGTGGTGTGTGATGATTTGCTAAGAGATGATGATGTATATGAAGTCCCCGCCTTCTCCAAAGAGTGTATAAAACTGCTGCAAACCCTGGGCTTGGGGCCTCTCAGCGTCACCAATTGCTGTGTGTACGTGGAGGACCGAGCTAGCTCTCAATAAACACCTCTTTGCTGCTTACATCGATCTTGGTCTCTGATGGTCTTTTGGAGGTCTGGAATTTGAGCATAACAGCACATTGGCACACACTCATAAATCCTAGGGACTTGGGATGTTGAGGCAAGTGGATCAAAAATTTAGCCAAACCCTATTTCAAAATAAAATAGAGGGCTGGGGATGTAGCTCAGTGGCCCACATCCCTGGGCTCAGTACCACAACACACACACACACACACACACACACACACAGAGTTATAAATGCATTACAAGTTAACATAAAATTGTTACAAATAATAATCAAAAAAGTGAGAAGAGAGGTATTGTTTTACTCTTTTGCAAATATTTTAAAGTCTACCATGATAAAAAACCAGATTCTTGAAAATTGCTTCTGCATTCAGTTTCTTGGGTTAATGTAAGTCTCTGGTCAAATTCTACTATACAAATATGAAATAATGAGAATAAAAAGGCAAATAATGTATTATATTGCCGCAGCCTGGCTGGGCACCAAATAACCGAGCCACCACAAAGCCTTGTAGATTCAAACAGCAGCTCTTTATTCCCGAACTGTCACCGGCACTCTACACGCATGTTCTGGGAAAATCCACACCTCCACCGGGCTCTGCATCCCAAATACTCTCTGAATCCCACGAGAACTCAACGGGAACTCAAGGAGCGGGCGCCCGAGGCAGCAGGATACGCCCTATTCTCAGCAGGATCCACACCCTAAACCTGGAACCTCCCTAAACCCAGATCCGCCCTGGTCCTTGAGCAGGGTCACCTTTCTCAAACATTCATGCAATGTC